ATATTTATTTTATTTTTATTATTTTTTTTAATAAAAATCCATTTTAAGATTTATTCTTTTTAACCTTGAATATACTGAATGACGATGATTTTTTGATTTTTGATTTTTTCGAATTTTTTTTTTTATATTTTTATATCTGTAGTTATTACTTATTTATTTAAATATATATTTTAACCGCAACATGACTTATTACTATCACCACCACTGTTATTCCCTCTTTTTGAAAGATCTCCTTCACTAATTTGAACACCTAATTGTTCAAGATTAACATCACCATTATCTATTTTTGTAATAATTGAACGAGCACATTTTAAAAATAATTCTTCGACACCATCACCCGATAATGCACTTGCCTCCATAAATAAAAGATCATTCTCTTGAGCTAATCTTGATGCTTCCAAAAATGAAACTTCTCTTTCTTCTGATAAATCTGCTTTATTTCCTACTAAAATAATTGTAACATCTTTGCTTGCCAATGCTCTGGCATCTGATAACCAATTATTAATATGATTATAACTTTCCCTGCTTGAAACATCATATACTAATACTACACCTGATGATCCACGATAGTATGATCTATTAATAATAAAATAGTTTAGGAAATATTAATAATCGATCTAATCATAAACAAAACAAATCATCACCATCATCATCATCATCATCATCATCATCATCATCATCATCATCATCATCATCATTTATTTAAATAAATATATACCTTGTAACCGATCTAAATCTTTCTTGGCCTGCAGTATCCCAAATTTGTAATTTAACTGCTCTACCTTGAATATCAATAATCCTTGATGCAAAATCTACACCTATTGTATGACTCGATTGACTTTTAACTGCAGTTTTAATTAGTATAATGTGTTTTTTTAACTTTTGTTATAATAGTTTATACCTACATCTATTATCTGTAAATCTATGTAAAAGACAGCTCTTTCCTACTGAGGCATCTCCTAATATAAGAAACTTAAATAAATATAATGATTTACCCATATTATATGAAATGTGAGGTAAAAAAAAAAAAAAAAATTAAAAGTTTTTTAAAAAATATTATTTTTTATTTTTTTTTTTTATTTAATTTTTTTCTATTTTTTTTGATATATATTTAATTTTCGACCTACTATTCTCTTTTAATTCAAATAAAATTTTGATTTCTATTTTAGGTTTAAACTAAAATAACTGAATATGTGGCACAGTATATTTATTTGAAAAATATTTATTTTATCTATTTAATTTCTTTTCTTAATTTTTTATTAACATTGTTTTTTTTTTTATTAAAATAATTATAAATGTAAACAATCTTTATCTTTAAATATAAAAAGATACATTCCCTCCCAATTTATAAAAATATCTCTTTGTTATAAAAATGTTCCTAATAATTTAGATAATGTATTTTTACAATGTGGGTTAAACATTAAAAAATAAATATATCTATGAAGTTACTGGTAATAATCATAAGAAGAAATAAATTTATAAATAAAAAAATATATACAAACACCAGTGCGTGTTCATTTTTTATTTTCTTAGTTATAATTCAAAAAATATAACATAGTAGGAATGAGGAAAATAAATTATTAAAAAAAAGTTTTATATTTTGGTAAATAAAAAATTTTAATTAATTTTAGTTCTTTTTCTTATCACTCCTGATTCTTCATCACTATTCGATTCTTTATCACTATTTGATTCTTCATTTTCTCTGGAATATCTTTTCTTTTCTTTAAAAAGGGGATGTTTAAGTCCAATAAATTAATGTCAAACAAATTTCAAAAAAAAAGCAAAATTCCAACTTTTTTTGTTTTTTCGTGAAAATAAATAAATAAAAATATATTTATTTTAAAAGTTAATATATTTATTTTTAAAAGTTTATTTAAAAATTTACAGTTAATAATAATGAACATTACAAACTTCATGGAGGAACACACTATGACATTCACATTGAGATCTAATATATGAATTTCCTTTATAGCTTACACCTTGAACTGGACTATTACTACACAAAACAAGCACCTCTTTCTTTTCTATTTCCATCAATTGCAACATTAATGAGCTTTGGGATTATTACTGTATTTCTTGATGTTTTTCTTGATGTTTTTCTAGTACTTGGTAATTGGTTATTAATTAAATGAAATATAAAATCTCTGGAATTGAATTTTTCTTGGCTATTTCTTAAATACAATTGTGTACAAAACGTCATTTAAATAACTCTTGGATAGTTGGGCGAGCGGTTATTTCTCTGTGGGTTTATCATTTTCACTATTATTATTATTGTTATTGCTATTGTTATTGTTTGTATTTGAATATAAATTTAATTTTTTTTTTTATTTTTTTTAAATCAATTCATAATAAAAATTTTTTTTTTTTAAATTAATTTTTTAATTTATTTTTAATTTTTTTAATTTATTTTTAATTTTTTTTTTTTAATTTTTAATTTGTTTTTATATATTTTTTTTTACCACCAATTTATTCAATTATACAAATAAAAAAAAAAAAAAAAAAAAAAAAAAAACAAATATTTCTCTCTTTAAAGAAGAAAATGTAAATATAAAAAAAATAATAATTTTTAAAAGATTTATTTATTTTATAAATATTAACTTTTATTTTATTATTGATTATACCAAAGAATGAAAGTTGATAGCCAAACAAACCACAGTATAAATAGTGCAAATTCATGCTCAACCTCAATTTCAAGCAATGAGTTTAATGATTTATTTTGGAAGGTGTTCCATAACGAATTAATTTTTAAAACTATAATTAAGTTTTTAGAGAATAACACCATGGTTCATTTTAATTCATTTGAAAAATGCTATATTGGGAACCGAATTAAATGGTCTAATATTAAAAGTTTACAATGGATGGTCGAGAACAAACAATTTGCCCTTTTAAAAGACAAGCTGCAATCAAACCAATACATACACATCAATCATATTGGCATTAATAAATTCTTTCAAGACTGCAATGATCAACAGATTATTCACTTGTTATACGAAAAACATAGGTCTCAATTAGGAATGGTTAATTTATTGGAAGTAGCTTCAAAATACCAAAATTTTACAGCATTAAACTATTTTTTAAATATTATTATACCCAAGCTTTCAGTTTTTTCCCAAACATTAGAGTTTGTTATAAAATATTCAACAGCTAAAGTTTTAGACTTTATTTTAAATCATTTGTACAATAATAATAATAATAATAATAAAATACCATTAATCGAACCATTAGAACATATAAAATATAAAACATTTCAATTGGCATTTTCAAATAATGTTGATCAAGAACAAATGATAAAATATATAATTGATAATGGTTACTATTTAAATAATTATATCAATAATGACTCATCCAATAATATTAATAATAATCCTAATAGCGTTCCATCAACAATTGCCCCATCACACTTGTCTCCTGGATCATTAAGTAGCTCAACCCTAGATCTTTTTATAGATGACGACCAGCAATCAAAGAATTCAATTCAAAAATCAAATAATTCAATCCAACAAAATAATTTAATAGAGTTTAATAAGTTTATAAGTTTTAGTAACATTCAACTAAAGAATAAAATATTAAATCTCTCAACACCATTAGTTTGTAAATCAGATATAAAAGAATTTAATGAAAATGTTCTAAAAACTTTTAAAGATTCCTCATATGAAGAATTGGAATATTGTATTAAAGTGTTATATAAACTGTGCCACTCGAAATATAATGATATTCCCAAAGAAATTCAGAAAGAACTGGATTTAAAGCAACAAAACTCTTCTTCATCCCAAATTCAACACTTTTTAAAGTATTTAATTTGCACCGAAACTTCTTCAAATCCATTACAAGGTGATTTTTATTTCGAGTACAATGAAATTCTTCCATGTTCAAGTATTATTTTAGTTTCAACTCTAACTGAACTAACATTCAGTCCAATTGGTTTAAATAATTTAATAGAATGGTCAAAAAATATTCAAATCAATAATATCGACAACAATAAATTTAAATTTCCAATTCAAATTCAAAAAATAAATAGTATTAATATTCAAAATATTAATCAGAATGAAATTTATCAAAAAGATAGAATGGTCCAATTTTTTGAAATGTATTTAAATCAGCAACTTATTCAATTTGATATTGACTTTTCAGCAATATTATTAAACTGTACTATAGAAACTATTTTGAAAATTGCAGAAATGGATGGATTTCCAAGAGATAAATTATTGATCCCCAATTTAAAGTTTCAAGAGTTTAATAAGTTTAAATGGTATTTAGATTTCCTAGTTTTACCAAATGTAGCAAGAGATAAAATAGAACCATTTTTAAATTTACCAATCATTTCAAATAGAGAAGAAATTCAATACCTATTTGATAATTTTGATTTATTCAAAAAGAAAATGGAAGGACCCTGTTTCTTTAATCAATTTAGTACCCAGGCATCATCCAAAGCATTTGAATTGGCCTCACTTGCTGAATACAATATAATAAAGTCTGGTTTAAGAATTAGAAAGAACCACACATTATATCCACATTTCGTTTCAAGTCTTTTAAGCTGCAATATTGACTCTCTTAAATCCATTGAAGGTTTGGCAAACTGCGGATTCTTTAAGACTATACCATTCAAAATTGAAGTTTGTAGCCTGATAAAAGAATTTAAAGATCAACCATTTGAACAATTAAAAAACCTATTCGAATATCTTAGCATTACTGGTTATAATGTTTTGGGTTTAATTAGTAATACACAAATGTATTATGATACTATCAAAGCTCTATTAGAATCAACAAATCATTATTCAAGAGATCAAATTTTTAAAGAAATTTATATCAACTATGACATCCACCCAAAACAATCTTTAAGGCTCTTTATATATTTTGTAATGAATTCTAATTTCAAAGTAGCATATCACATTTTAGAAAGACTCAACTCATTCCCTTGTGAATACAATAGAAATATGTTAAACGAATTTATTACCCAAGTATTCTATGACGATCTTCTAGATACGGTTGGCTCCCCATATGAAATTTTTGATCAACAAACCTTTTCAATCAAGAAACCAAAATATAAATTCTCTGAAGTATACCCAATCTTAGCACTAATGCTCAACAAAATTCCAAAATTCTATTTCAATGCACTATATTTAGTATTTCAACATCTTTACAACACATTATTATCAAGCGAAGGTGTTACTTTAGAACTATTGGATTTGGTTCATTATTTCTTTTATGACTATCAAATATTCATTCAAGTAGATTTTTATCAAATATTTTATTATCTTCATATCAAATCACCTCTTCTTAGCAACTATATCATGTCCAAGCCATATTATTTTGAAAAGCAAATTCAAGACCTTAATGGTGATCCAATAATAAATAACAATGGAATTCTTTCGTTTCAAACTATTTCCGATTCTACAATTGACCAATTATTCAACAAACTATATGTTTATATTTCGAAAAACTATTTTAAAACTATGAACAGCTTAAATCTCAGTAATAACAGTAGCAATAAACCAATTAGTAATAACTCTAAAAATAACAAAGGAAACAATTTTTATAAAAATTCTGGGGGCAACAATAGTCTTAGTAGAAGCAACAGCTGCAATAATTTTATAACTATCGACGACTATAGTGATGGAAAATATAGCACCTATAAATATAATGGTGGACAAAACAATGAGGACCATCAAATAATGGATACTTTTGATAATATCACAGGGGATAATAGCAACCCACAATCTCAACATTATCATAACGATATCGAAATGAACCATATTTCCTCAAACGATAGCAATAATAAAAATAACTCCAATTATATTAGTGGTAATAACTTTGAAAATGATGAAGAATTCAATTTCTATGATGAGGATGATGAAGATGATGATTTTTTTGGTGATGAAGATTACAATACCCATCATGTTAACAATAAAGAAGAAATAAACCATTCAAGAAACCTCTCTCTTATTATGGATATTGAATACTTTTTAAAAATCAACCGATTGGATATTGTATTTTATATTTTCAAAGATGAACAGAGTCAGTTTAAACAAATGCTATCATCCTCATATGCAAATAATTTCAAATTTGTTAGATCATTATTGACAACAATTCAATCAACAAAGCCTTTCAAAGATCTCATTCAATTAAATATATTCTCACTTGCAACAATCTTAGAAGAGTCAATTCACTTGGACCGATTGGATTTGGTTAAATATCTATTAGAAAATTACAAATGTGAAACTATGCAAATAAATAGATTCTATTGGATTTTTAACAAAAACTATTTAAATTTAGCAAAATATCTTTTTGAAAATCATATTTCATCATTGGGCTTATATGAAAGAGATTTCTTTAAAACTTCAAAATCAACTATAATCAAATTGGTAACAACAACAAACCACAATCAAGATAATAACCAAAAACAGTCAGTATATTTATATGATGGCCCTGATTTTTATGATGTAGCCTGTTCAAAGAATTATCATCAAATGTGTCAATTAATTTTCAAATACTATCCACTCCACATTCAAATTAAGCAAGAATTATTATTACAAGAGTAAATTTCAAATCAAAAAAAAAAAAAAAAAAAAAAAAAAAATTACAACATATAGTTTTCAAAAATCATAAAAATAAATAAAAAAAAAAAACTAGTTTATTTTTTATTATTAAAAAATTATTTTTATTTTTTATTCTTTATAGCTTTTAATTTTATTGATAATATTTTTAAATTATAACGATTTTTCTTGTAAAGGACAATTGCTGCTAAAATAGCCAAAGATAACAAAACACAAGGAACAACTATAACTACTGACAGTAGCCAATTGTTTTTATTATTTATCCCACAGTCTGATTTAAATTCTGGTGTAACCAAAACACTGAAATCTGATTAAGAAAATATTAAAATTAATACTATTTTATATGATTTAAATACAATAAAATTTTAATTACCTGGGTCAATTAAACAAGAAACTTCGCAATGAGGTAGATTTAAAGATACTATTACACTAGTTTCGTTAGTATCTACTGAGCTAGAAATAAATGTTTCTCTATTATCAGAAAATACTTTATTAATAAATCTTCCAACTAACTGACGTGAATTTTTATAAACTACAATATAGTTTGCATCTTCTTGGTTATCGGCATTTGATATGTCAATTGAGGCATCATTTTGATTACACATATCTTTATTATTTTCTTGAGTAGTGGCTGAAAGGAAGGATAATGAGAGTGTATTTAATGAATTTTCATAAAGATAATTTGAAATATTAATTGAAATTTTAATAGATTCTTTAGGAACAATAAACTTTGTACTGCCAAACTGAAACTCTTTTTCATCTTTTACCTCTTCGATAATATATGTAATTTTTGAAATATTACCTATTGTTTGATCGAATTTGTAAATATTTTCTGACGATTCTTGATCTTTTACCCAACTATCTTGTAATGAATGGCTTGCTACTATTGATCCATTTATTGATATTTCATTTAATGAAATAACAGATATTTTGTAGTTTGTTTCTTTACTATTCATTTGGACTCCACCACTTTTATCGACAGTAGTGTTTACAACAGGGGCTGTTATACTCAAATCTTTTTTAAGAGAACAATCATAATTGCTGTAATCTTGAGAACAATCACATTGACCAATAGTTGTGTTACATTTTCCATTTATTGGTGAGGTGCAATTATTTGGGCATTCTTTAATTGGGTTTATATATTTAAAAATACCGAAACCTGTAAAATATACATCACTATTTGATATCAAAGTAACAATAACATTATGAATACCACTACCCGAAGCCAAAATACATTGAATTTGATTAGATGATATATGTTGAACTGGACAATTTAACAAACCAACACTAACTAAATAACCAGATGAGATACTTTCCGGGAAATTCCCATTCAGAGTAACATTTCCACCATTGATAGTGCAAGGCAATACTGATGAAACATAGTGTAATTGAATTGAACAATCTACACCAGTAAATTTTGATGAACATTTACATTTACCAACCGATTCATCACACATACCTCCATTTAAACAATCACGTGAACATTTAACTTTAGAACAGTCATCTCCTAATCTATCTTGAAGACAAGAGCATATACCTGTTTGGGTATCACAAGTTCCAAACCCGCTACAATTATTTGGACATAGGGATACTAGTGTGCATGAACCACTTGATGTTAGATCTTGATAACCCGGTTTGCAAAAACAACTTCCAACGCTATAATCACAATATGTATTGGAACCACAACCAGCTTGATCCTCAACGCAGATTTTATTTTCAGACTTCATACTAATTATATATTCACTAGATAGCGGTGGTGGAGGAATTTGATTACCAAGACTATTATCATCTATTGCTATTTTTGTTAAAATACTGGTTTCTGTAAAAAGATTTATATCTGAGGTTGAACAAATAACTTTATAAAATGTTGCTGAAATTACTTCACAATTTGAACTACCAATTTTTATTTTAATGGATGAAATATTATATGATAAATAAGAACCCTGGATAATTAATTGTTTTAAAACTGCGTCTGGAAATATATTGGTTACTTTAGGTACTGTTGGTGCTGTTGCGACTGTAAAAACCTGACTTAGTGAACCGTCTTCTGACTTTGCTTTAAAAACAACTTCTATTTTTGGTGGAATAATTGATTTAGATATCCATACTTTAAACATTCTTGAAGGTGTTACTGTAGTAAATTCATAGTTAGAAAGGGGTGAAGAAAGAGATATATCATTTCTACTAATTCCAATATCTTTACCATATACATATAAAGCTTTAAAAAAAATAAGTAATCTTTATATGTTTTAAATTATTTTTTATTGTTATACTTACTTTGTTCGGATATATTATACCATGAATTAGGTAGAATGGTGGTGCAAGATGGAGCCGGTGGATAATTAGTGAATTGGTTACCATCAAAATTTGAAGGGTATTGGGAAATATAACAAGCAAAACAAGAAGGAATGACACCACTTAACATATTACCTCTAACAAATAAATCAGGAATTAAACAAAAACTTTCATCTATTGTACCCGTAAACTTATTGCCTAAATGTAGTTGCAATAAATTTCTAAAATCGGAATATTTCCATGCTGTAAAGTCTATAGGTAGACTGCTAATAAAACTTATATGGGTAAGCCTTGGAGAGGAAACAAAAAAGTTTTTGGGATCATTAAATTCACCATTGTTTATATGAATAGACTCCAGGGTTGGGTGTGGTAAAATTGGAAATTCATTTCCTATATTAAATAGTCGAAAATCTCCTATAATAGAAAATGATTTTAAATTTTTTAGATTTGTTAAATCAATCATTGATGATGGCGCACTAGCAGAAAATATCATATCTCTAAAATATTAATAATAAATAAAATTAGTATTGATTAATTTAACTTAAAACTTTGTTATATATTTTTTATACTTACATATTTTCAATATTATTACCTTCTGGAATTAATGAAAAGGGTGGGAAACTTCCAGGTACAAGAAGCGTACCTAAATCAATTTTAACAAAGCTAGCTAAACCACACGTTACAATATTAGAATAATCGAAAGGGTCATATGAATATAATTCTAACATCTGGAGCTTTTTAAAATTGTCCATTACTGGAAGATTAGTTGTGGTAAATGAAAATTTTTTTAATTCTAAATTTTCCAAGTTTGCAATATCATTATTCAAAGTAATACTACTATTCTTTCTTTTTGAACCATATATTTCAAATTTTCTATTTAAAAAAACATATTAATAAAAAGACCTTAAAATTAATTTTTTAAAGTATTATCTATAACTTACATCTCTTTTAAAGTACTAATTTTTGAAAAATCTAATTGAAAAGAAATTGAATCCTGTCTAATACTTAAAAAATAAACAATTTTTAGATTAGGGGAAACCGGTTGGGTGAACATATTACTTAACGAAGTACCCATACAATAATAACATTGAATTATATTTAATCTTGGGTGATTAAAATCACTTAAAAATGTTGATTCCATATAACCAGACCAAAGAGAAAAATCTACTAAATATTCGAAACATGATATATCTGAATATTTAACCTCTATTGTTGTTTGCTGTTGGATGTGTCTAATGTTAAATTTTAGAGTGAATAATTTGTTTTATTTAAAAACAATTTTTAATAAATCTCTTACATTTGCGAAACTCTTCTTTTATTTGAATCATTTGGATCTAGAGTACAACTTATGGATGAACTACACTCTACAGCTTGTGTTACTCCAATAACATTAAAAAATGCTTTTAAACAATTAACTTTAGTATTGAAAATTTAATAATTAGTAAAATAATAAAAAAAAATAAAAAAAATAAAAATTTTTATTGAATTTTTATTTTGAGAATAAAAAATGAATCTTGCCCTCGCTTTCAATCAATAGTTGTGAGTTAATTAATTGTATAATAAATAATACATGTATCAAAATGATAATTTTTTTAATCATTTTCAAATTCATATTTTTAATTATTATGTATAGTTATGAAAAATAAATAAAGAATAAAGAAAAATATAAAAAAAAAACATAAAAAAAAAAACATAAAAAAAAAAAACGAAATAAATATTTTTAAGTCTTTTTCTTTGAGAAAAAAGCACTTAAAAAATAAATTAAGAATTATTTTTTTTTGAGAATAAATATTTTAATCATTAGTAAATATGAAATTGGAAATATGTAAATTTTTTAAAAATATTTTTTTTTTTAATTTAATCCCTCAATAAATAATTACAATTTATTAATTTTTAATCCCTTTATAAATAAAAAATTATTTTAGATTGTATTTTTTTGAAAACTTTGATTGATTAAGTTTTAAATCGTTTTATGAACAATTTGAAAAGCTAAAATGGTTTTTTCAGATACAATTTGGATTTTTTTTGGTTATATTTGTGTGATTTTTATTTTAAATTTCTTTTAATTTTTTTATTTTATTTTTTCATTTTTAAAAATTTTTTTTTTTTTTTTTTTTTTTTTCAAAAAAAATTTTTTTATATTTTTTAAATAAAATATTTTGTTAAAATCAAATTTCATTTATTTTTTTTTTATTACAAAATAAAATATAAATAAATATAAAATGTCAGAAAAAGTAAGTAAAATACAATTTTTACAATTAATGATAAAGTAAATATCCTTACTAATACATTAAAAATTTTATAAATTTAATTAATTATTTTTATTTTTCTTAAATATTAATAAAAATCATAATAATAATAAATAATTATAGGCTTTAGAATTAAAAAACAAAGGCAATTCAAGTCACTCTGCTAAAAACTATAATGATGCATTAAAATATTTTTCAGAAGCAATTGAAATTGAACCAAATAACCAAGTTTTATATAGTAATAGATCAGCATCATACAGTGCATTAGGTAAATTTGAAGAGGCATTGGAAGATGCCAAGAAAGCAATTTCATTAAAAGGTGATTGGTCAAAAGGTTATTTAAGAGAAACTGTTGCATTATATAATTTAGGTCGTTTTGAAGAAGCCGAAAAAGCAGCAAGAAAAGGTCTTGAATTAGAACCAAACAATGCTCAATTAAAAGAAAGTCTTGAAGATGCAATGGAAGCAATTGAAGGAAAAACCAATCCAATGGGTGCTGTAGCTAATCTTTTTAACCCAGCAAACATTGCCAAATTAAAGAGTAACCCAAAAACCTCATCATTCTTCTCACAACCAGATTTCGTTAGAATTATTGAAGAACTTCAAAGAGATCCAAATCAAATGAACAAATATCTTCAAGACAAACGTATTTTAGCATGTTTTGGTGTTGTTTTAGGTATTGATATTAATGCCGCCGAGGCTCCACAAGAACCACCAGCTCAAAGATATCAAGAGCCACCAAAACAACCAGAAAAACCAAAAGAACAACCAAAAAAACCAGAACCAGTTCCAATGACTGAAGCCCAACAAGAAAGAGACTTTGGTAATAAAGCATATATGAAAAAAGAATTTGAAGTTGCTCTTCAACACTACGATAAAGCCATCGAATTAGATCCAACCGATATTTTAGCTATGAACAACAAAGGTGCAGTTTACTTAGAACAAGGTAAAGTTGAAGATGCCATCGCTCAATGTAAATCTGCTCTCGAAAAATCATTTGAAATTCGTGCTGATTTCCGTATTAAATCAAAAGTTTACACTCGTCTTGGTAACTGTTATCTCAAGAGTAATAATATCGATGAAGCTTACAAAAACTACGAACATGCTCTTCTTGAAGATAAAAACAATGAAACTTCAGCCAATATGAAAAAGATCGAGAAATTAAAGAGAGAACGTGATGTTGAAGCCTACATTAATCCAGAAATCTCTTTACAAGAAAAGAATAAAGGTGTTGAACACTTTAAGAAGGGTGAGTTCCCAGAAGCCATCAAAGCATTCGAAGAAGCCATTCGTCGTAATCCAAAAGATCACACTATTTACAGCAATCGTTCAGCTTGTTATGCTAAACTCTTAGAATACCCATTAGCCATTAAAGATGCTGACAAATGTATCGAATTAGATCCAAACTTTGTTAAAGGTTATATTAGAAAAGGTGCTGCTCTTTTTGCCATGAGAGAATACACTAAAGCTTTAGAAGTCTATGATCAAGGTCTTAAAATCGATGAAAACAATCAAGAACTTTTAGATCTCTCTAAAAAAACTGTTTATGCCCTCAACAAACAACAATCAGAACTCACTGACGAAGAACGTCTCCAACAAGCTGCCAAAGACCCAGAAATTCAAACAATTCTTTCTGATCCAGTCATGAACCAAATCTTAAAAGATATGCAAGAAAATCCAAAAGCTGCTCAAGATCATCTTAAAAACCCATTAATTAGAAATAAATTCCAAAAATTAGTTAATGCCGGTATTGTTAAATTAGGTTAATAATAAAAATAATAAAGTAAAAAAAAAAAAATATTTAATGGATATAAAAAAAATAATATATACTTTTTTTATATTTTTAATTTAAAAAAAAAAAAAAAAAAAAAAAAAAAACCCTTAAACCGTTTTTTAAAAAAAAAATTATTTATTTTAAGTTGTCTTTTTTTTAACCAAAAAAAAAAAAAAAAAAAAAAAAAAAAACCCCCCAAAAAAAAAATAAAAAAATAAAAAAGGGGTGGGTTTTAAAAAAAAAAAAAAAAAAAAAAAATAAAATTTAATTTTCTTTCATACCTCAAAGCGATGAATTTTAAATGTTTTTTTTTTTAGATTATTATTTAATTATCTAAAGGTCAAAAATGTCAAAAAATAAATAAATAAATAAATATAAAAAAAAAAAAGAAAAAAAAAAATGTGAAATGACTATATTTTAAAAAAATTAAATTAAAATTTTTTTACTTTTTTTAATTTTTTTTTATTTTATTTATTTTTTTATTTTTTGTTAAAGATTGTTTAATAAAACCCATTTTTTTTTTTTTTTTTTTTTTTAACACATTCCTTTATTCTCTTTTAAAGTTTCCCCTTTATTCATTCATTTATTTATTTTTTATTTATTTATTTATTTATTTATCCATTTTATTTTTTAAATATACTTTATATTTTTAAATAATACCTTAATTAAATTATGGATGGTGTAGAAATAATAGCAAAATCAATTAAAAACAGTGCTATTGAAAAAGTATTTGGTATAGTTGGTGTACCGATTACTCCAATTGCATATGAATTACAAAAGCAAGGTGTTGGATTTTTTGGATTTAGAAATGAACAAAGTTGTAGCTATGCTGCAAGTATTGTCGGTTACTTAACCGGGTTACCAGGTTTATGTATGACTGTAAGTGGTCCAGGTATGGTTCATGCTTTGGCTGGTGTATTAAATGCACAATCAAATGGTTGGCCTTTAATTTTAATGTCATCAAGTATTTCTCTAAATGAAATCGGAAAAGGTGGTTTTCAAGAATCTAAACAAATGGAATTAGCAGAGCATTATTGCAAAAAGGTTTACAATGTTACAGAAATCGATCACTTCCCAGAAATTTTAAAGGATGCAATCGAGACAAGTTTATCCAATAGACCAGGTCCAGTTTATATTCAATTACCTGTAAGTAATATAATGGTAGAAATAGTTTTAGTATTTGATTTATAATTTATAAAAATATATAAATATAAATCATATAAATAGTGGTGAATAAAACCATAATTCAGACAATATTTCTTTATTATAAATAACAATAATATTATGTAAAGTTATTATTTTACTAATTATTTTTTTTTTTTATAGTCAAATATTATTAAATCAAAAGGTGAAGCAAATATTAGAGAAGCAGCAGGTTATGGATCAATTGCAATTAAACCAATTTTACCAGATATTAATAAAGTAAAAGATGCAGTTGAGTTATTAATCAATGCTAAGAGACCGTTGGTTATTGGTGGTAAAGGTGCAGCCTATTGTAGATGTGAAAATGAATTACTAGAGTTTATTGAAACTACTAAAATCCCATTTTTACCATCACCTATGGGAAAGGGTTTACTTAGAGATGACCATCCATTAGTGGTTGGTGCAGCTAGATCATATGCCTTAAAGAATGCAGATGTAGTTTTGGTATTAGGTGCTCGTTTAAATTGGATGTTTGGGTTTGGTAAAGCACCAGTCTTTTCACCATCAGTTCAATTTATTGTTGTAGATGTAGACCAAAACGAGGCAGTTAATAATCCAAATGTTAAACCAGCAGTTAGTATCGTTGGTGATGCTCGTTTAACTATTGCCGAAATGCGTAAACTTATTGGTGATAGTAACTCGATGGCATTACCATTATCAATTGAAGATTCATGGTGGGTAAACTTGAAAGCAGATATCGAAGTCAAAACTAAATCATTAATGGCATTAATGAATGAACCACAAATTAATGACACCGACTATTTAAATTATCACAAAGTTTACAACTCACTTAGAAGTTTCCTTTTCCAAGAAGATAGTATTTTTGTCAATGAAGGTGCCAACACAATGGATATTGGTCGTATTTGTATTAATCAATCACTTCCACGTAGTCGTTTAGATGCTGGAACCCTTGCAACTATGGGCGTTGGTGTAGGTTACGCTATTGCTGCTCAAATTTGCTTCCCAAGTCGTCCAGTTGTTTGTGTTCAAGGTGATAGTGCTTTTGGTTTTAGTGCTATGGAAATGGAGGTTGCCGTTCGTTACCACTTACCAATTGTTTTCATCGTTTTAAATAATAATGGTGTTTATGAAGGTTTAGAGTCAATGTCCGATGATAAATATACCTGTTCTACTGAATCTGCTTCACTTCACGTACCTCCAACCTCTTTATTGGTTGACGTTCAATATGAAAAAATCATGCAATCATTTGGTGGTTCTGGCTATTCAATTTCAACCCTCTCTTATTTAAATGAACTTTGCCAACAAATTAAAAACAAAGAAATTAAATTACCAGTACTTTTAAATATAAAAATTAAACCAACTGGTACCAAACCAAAAATTGTTCATTAATTATGTAAATAAAAAAATAATAAATATTAATAATAATAATAATAATAATAATAATAATAATAATAATAATAATAATAATAATAATAATAATAATAATAATAATAGTTTTATATTTATTTAATAAGTAAAAATAAAAAAAATATTTAATTTTAATTTTCTTTGAAAAAATATCATTTTTAAATTATATATATGTACTTTAATATTAGTTTAATCAGATATTTAATTATAATTTTTAAATATTTTTTTTTTAAATAGTAAAAAAAGCGCCACAAAATTTTTTTTTTTTTTTTTTTAATTTTTTTATTTTTTTGAATTTTTATTTTATTTAAATTTTTCATATCACCAATCTAATTATAATTATCATTTCCTTTAATTTTATATATATAAATACAATAATAATAATAAAATGATGTATAGTTCAGGAACAATAGATGATAAAAATACTATTAAAACGCAACAACCACAATTCCAAAAAGTTAAAGACGAAGCTAAAGAATGGACCAAAACGAAATTTTTAAATTTTTTAAATAGTTTTGTGTTAAAGAAAAATAATAATAGTAATAATAATGATAATGGCAATAATGATAGTAATAGCAATAATAAAAAACAAGATATTTATTATTATACACAGGTCGAAAAAATGATTAAAAATGAAAAATCAAGCTTATATATAGATTTTACACATATAGAGTCATTTGATAAAGATTTATCAAAAGCATTATTATTTGAATATTTTAGGTAATAATTAAAATATCAATAAACAAATAACAATAATAATAGTAAATAATAATAATAATAATAATAATTAATAACCAAATTATTAATATATCTTTATAATATTATATAGATTAGAACCATCATTAAAACAAAGTTTATCAATTTTTATTCAAGATCATTTTCCAAAATTTATGAGTAAAATTAATAAAGAAAAACTTATATTGTCAATTTGTTGTTTTAATGTTTTAAATTTTGTTCATATTAGAGAATTAAGATCAAGTAGAATTGGTTCATTATGTTCAATTTCAGGTACAGTTACAAGAACATCAGAAGTTAGACCAGAATTAGTTATTGGGTCATTTATTTGTAAAGATTGTAATACATCATCACAGCCAATACCACAGCAATTTAAATATACAGAGCCAACTAAATGTTTAAATCCTCTATGTTCAAATACCAGACGTTGGAAAATTAATATGGAAGAATCAACATTCACTGATTGGCAAAAGGTTAGGGTTCAAGAGAATAATAGCGAAATTCCAGGTGGCAGTATACCACGTTCATTAGAGATTATTTTAAGAGGTGATTCGGTTGAAACTGCTCGTGCTGGTGATACTTGTACATTTGTTGGAACTGTGAATGTAATTCCTGACGTATCGAAAATGGCCATTGGTACCAATGCAACCATTGTCAAAGGTGTATCAGCTCCTTCTTCGGATAAAGGGGGTAAGGATGATTTTGGTGGTGTCAGTGGTTTAAAGGATCTTGGTATTCGTGAAATGAACTATAGAGTTTGTTTCTTTTCGCAGTCTGTAAGATCTAATGTTTCAAAATCCAATTCAATCAATAAAAAAGATTCACCTGAAGATCATATCAAAAGTAGCTCAAACGATGAAGATGACGAAGAATTGGAGTCTAAAGAATCATTTTTAGAATCATTACCAGAAAAAGAAAGAGTCGCATTAACCAAGATGTTAAAACCAACCAAAATTTATGAAAAGTTAGTGCATTCCATTTGTCCCTCTATTTTTGGTAATGAAGAAATTAAACGTGGTGTATTATTAATGCTATTTGGTGGTGTGCATAAAAAAACACCTGAAAAAATTAGACTTCGTGGCGATATCAATGTGTGTATTGTAGGTGATCCATCAACTTCAAAAAGTACCTTTTTAAAATATTTAAATACATTTTTACCAAGAACTGTCTACACATCCGGTAAAGCATCATCTGCTGCTGGTTTAACCGCTACCGTCGTAAAAGATTCAGATAGTGGTGATTTTAATATTGAGGCTGGTGCTTTAATGTTGGCTGATAATGGTATTTGCTGCATTGACGAATTTGACAAAATGGAACCATCAGATCAAGTTGCAATTCACGAAGCTATGGAACAACAAACTATTTCAATCTCTAAAGCTGGTATTCATGCAACATTAAATGCTAGAACAAGTATTTTAGCCGCTGCTAACCCAATTGGCGGTCGTTATGATAAAACTAAAATCTTAAAGCACAACTTAAATATTGGTGGCCCATTAATGAGTAGATTCGATTTATTCTTTGTTGTAGTCGATGAACCAAACCCAGAATCTGATAAAAGAATTGCTCAACACATTGTATCTATTCATCAAAAGAAAGAAAAGGCTTTTCATTCACCATTCTCTGCCACCGAAATTAAAAACTATATAAAGTATGCTAAATTTATTCTACCTGTCATTCCACCAGAAAATTACCATCTCTTTGAAATTTATTATGATAGATTAAGACAAATGGAGGTACAAGGCGGTAGATCAACATCCTATCGTATTACAGTAAGACAGTTAGAGTCATTGGTTAGACTATCAGAATCATTAGCAAGATTACATTTGGATACAGTGGTTAAAAAAATATATATAGACGAAGCTTTTAGACTTTTACAAAAATCAATTATTCATATTGAAACAACCGATGTAGTTTTAGGTGAAGAAGAGGAAGAGTTAACCATTAAACAAAACAATAACAATAGCAACAGCAATAATCAAGACGAAAATAATGATAATAATTTAATTAAAATGGATTTCGCCAAATATTCACAATTAAGTAAACTATTGGTTTTAGCTATAAGACAACTAAAAAAAGAATCTGGTATCAAACAAATCGATCTTGTTGATTGGTATCTTAATGACCAAATAGAATCAAATAATATAACAAAAGAAGAAATGGATACTGAAAGAATAACAATTAGTAAAGTAATTAGCCGTATGATATATACAGATAATATTTTATTGATTTTAACACCCAATGACGACCATGATCATAGAGTTTTAATTATTCACCCAAATCACACCGATTAAAAATAATAAAAGAATTCAATTGGATTGGTTTTACCATTTATATTTTATTTTTGGTTGTTTTCTCCATTTTGGTTTTTTTTTTTATTATCATTATTTTTCCTTTTTTTTTTCTTTTTTTTTCTTTTCTTTTTTTTTTTTGTTAATATTTATTTATTATCGGGATACAAATAATAAAAGACATACAACGTTTTTATTTATTTTTTATTTATTTTTTTTTAATTTTTATTTTTTTTTATTTTTTTTTTTTTAATTTTTTTTTTTCTAATTTTTTTTAAAAATTATTTATTTTTTCTAAAATATCTTTATAATTTAATTCTAATAATAAAAAGTTAGGTGACACAGATATCTTTTTTTTTTTTTTTTTAAATACTATTAAATATTCAATCAAAATAACTCTTCACCTAATTGTAAAATATTTTCAATGTATTAAAAAAATCTTTAAAAAAAAAAAATTTTAATTTTAAAATTTTTTTTTTATCATAAATTTTAAACAACATACACCAACAACCAATAATAATAGTAATAATAAACAACACAGTTTTATATATGTATTTGTAATTTTAAAAATGAATAAATTTAATAAAATCTTTAGAAAATCCATGGCTATAGGGAGTCATGGTGGTGAAAATTCATTATCATCATCACCACCAAAATCATATAGTGGCAGTAGTGGCAGTGGATCATCGCTAAATCATAGTACAGGCAGTGCACCAAATAGTCATCATCATCCTAACATTCAACACTATTCATCATCCCCAAATTTATTAAGCAATACCAATAATAATAATAATAATAATAATACTTCAGTATCGTCGGGATCACTTTCATCTTCACCTTCTAGTATATCAGCATCAACTTCAACATCATCTAGATCATTAAATAATAATATAGCTTCAACATCAATTGGTAGTAATGGAGGTGGACCAAGTTCAAACAACCTATATTCACAATATAACCCATTGCCATGCATAGATTTTGAACAAATATTTTTACCATACATTAGAGATGGCGATAGAATTAAAAACTATTTTCTAGTTCATTCAATTTTATCAAAAAAAGGTATACCAACAACAGCACAAGGAGTAATTGAACACCAACAACAACACCAAAATCAAGATGGCACTATCATTACAACCACTATTATACGTAATCGTAGTCAAAGCGAACAAGATTCTCAATCTAAATCATCATGGCAACCATTTTATAAAAAGAATTCAAATGTTTCATTCTTGGTTATTTGTTCAAAGAATATTGTAATTTTAGATGCAACTTCCCACCCATTCACCATCACTAAAAAAATATCAATTGGAGACATAAAGGAAATAGTTTTTGAAACTTCAGATTTAGGTCTATTTACAATCGAATTAAATCCAAATCCACACACTGACCATTCCAATCCCAACTTACTTTTCTTTACAGTTGGGTGTGAAAAGAAGGATATCTTTGAACAACTAAATCAGTCGTTTGATGAAATGTTAAAAGATTATTATAGTGTAAATATACAATTATTTATTATTTATTAATTAATTATTTATACTAACTCTCTTTTTTTTTTTTTTCAGGATAAAAATAAAGATTTATTTATATTAAAAAAATGTAATATGTTAAGTAGTGTCGATCAAACATATAAAAAAGAATTTAAGAATCATGTAAATCAATTATTAGATGAAATTTCAATGTATGGTTTTACAGCACAAGATCTTTGGGAAGGTAATGCAGATTTAAAATTTTGGGTAGATAAGATTAAAGATAAAATTGAATGGAACAGTGATGAAAGATTCCTTGTAGAGTTTATTTTACCTCAAGAGATGAATTGTAAAAGGGTTTACAGGGTTCCAAATGATATTCCTATTAAAGAAATTATAAATTTCCTTTGTATCAAAGCTCAAATTATTCAAGACTCATCAATATTTACCCTTGCAACCATTAAAGGCAAAGAATTGGATGAAATCGATGTATTGGGTGATTATGGTTTAGGTTCATTCTTTGATAATTGGCAATTAGTTTTAGTCGAAAAAGGTAAAACAAGAAGTGCAGGTCTTTTTAATTTAGAGGTTCACTTTCCAGATAGCCCAGAATATAGAGGAAGATACCACCGTGTTTTAGAGTTGGATGGATATATGTGTGCTTCCAAGTTAGTAAATTATATTGGAGAACAAATGGAAATTAATAAATCACACTTGTATTCTATCAAATTGGAAATTATAGTAAATAATAGTAATAATGGAAATAATAGTGCATCTCTACCTTCCTCAAACTCCATAGTTTTAGAAGATGAGGATTATTTAACAACTCATGGTTTAGGATCCAAATTCTTAAAATGTAAATTAAAACTAATACCAAAAAAACTACCAAAGGCCTCAAAAGATAAATTAAAAAGTAAGTAAATTTAACCATTATAATTATTATATTAGTTTAAACTTTTTATATTAATTAATTTTAAAATCAGATTTAGAAGTTACAAAATTAATTATCGATGATATTGTAGAAAATGCATGGAAAGAATTTAATCAAAGAAAACAAGAAAAGGCATCAATTATTTGTAACGAAATAATAAACTCGATAATAGATACAACCGTAATAGAATGCCAAAGAGCATCAACTTTAAGTTTAAGAATGGCCTCATTAAGCATTGTTGGTCGTGCTGCAATGTATAAAATATTGGCCCAAAAGGAACAAGAGGAATTAAATTATTATAAACTAGAGGGTCAAAAAGCAATTATTAACCAAGCTAAAGATTTAGTAAATAGTCTATCACCAGTAGCTGGCCCAAGCTCAGATGTTCAATTAGACGATAAAACAGGTTCAAATTCATTACATCGTGTTGCTCCACCTCCACCACCACCAATTTTAGGTTTCAAGAACTTCAAACCAAAAAAGAAAGCTATCGAAGAGACATCTAGTACATCTACTCCTGCTCATTTGAAAATGAATAATCCTATGATGGGTTTAGGCAGTGTCGATATGAATCAAATCCTTGGCATGAGAAATAAACTAAGATCCCTTAAAAAACCGGAAGAGGAGGATTCAAAACTAAATCAAGAAGACAGAAATAAAATGGTAAACTTTACTCTTAGAAATACAAAAAATATTCAAAAAAATCAATCAAATCCAGTTGTAACAAATGAAACAAACGAACTAATGCAAAAACTTCAAAAAAGACATCAAGCCGCAGCATTAGATGCAGAAGATTTAGGGGATTCTTAAATTTAATTTTTAATAAAAAAAAAATTTTTGCAATATAAAAATAATAATAATAATATGATAATATAGTGATATGATTTTAATAATAAATAATAATAAATAATTATTAAAATAATAATTATCAAAAATTATTAAATAAAATACTTTTCTATTAATTTAATAATTTTAGAAAAATTTAGAAATTAATTATTCCTTTTTTGTTTTAATATCTGTTTTAAAAATAGTAATAATTGATGAATACATAACTCAAAAACTCAATAAAAGTGATATAAATATAATTAAAATTAATTTAAAAAAAAAAAAAAATTAAAAGTATTAAAGTCTTTTTATTTATGTTAAAAATATTTTTAAAAAATTAAAAAAAAATAAAAAAATTCTTTTAAAAAAAAATACAACTTTTAATTAATAATTAAACCTAAAGATTAGTAAAAATGGAATATAAAAAAAAAGAAACTATTACAATAGGAAAAAAAAGAGGAAGAGAAGCAAAGATAAACTATGACCTTTATGGTGACGATAACGCACCTTTTAAAATATTGTTTGTAATGGGATTTCTTCAATCTGGTGAAGCATGGAAGTTGCAAATAGATTATTTTAGAAAAAATAAAGATTTTCAAATTTGTGTTTACGATAATAGAGGAATTAATAACTCGACATCCTTTAGTTTATCATTAAAAGAAATGGCATTTGATGCAGTAGATTTATTGGTATTTATTTATTTATTTAGTTATATATAAAAAAATAATAATTTTAATAATTGTTTTTCTTTTTTATTACAACCAGGATCATTTAAATTGGAAAAACAATATTAATATTTGTGGAGCTTCTTTAGGGGGTTCAATTGTTACACACATTTGTAACATTATTCCAGATAGGATAAATTCTGCTATAATTAGTGCGCCTCATATTGGATTGTTTTCACCATTTATTTCATTAGGTAAAAAAAAATTTTGTAAATCATTTTTTATTAAAAATGATAGAGAGAAATATTATACTTTAATTTCTTCTATTTTCTCGGATGAACATTTAAACAGTCCTTCAGTGTCAGAACCAAACAAAACAAAAGTTCAAGCTATGATAGATAGAGCAATAAAAAACAAAGATAAAACCCCCAATCCATCAATTATAACATTATTTAGTCACCTCTATATATATATTTCAACAAAATTTACAAACAAAGATTTTAACAACATCAGAAAAAACAATATTAATGTATTAGTTTTAGGTGGTGAAAAAGATGTTTTAATTCCTTTAAATTGTTTAAAAAAAGATTTTGTTGAAAGATTGCAAACCAAAAATTTTAAAATATTCAAAACTGGCCATTGTATAAATTTAGAAAAACCAAAAGATTTTAACGAAACAATTAGTGACCATATTACAAAAAAAAATTTGAATCTACAACATTATTATAATGATACCAATTCTAAAAGATACTTTAATTTTTTAAGTATCAAAAGATTTCTAAAATTTAAATAAAAATATAAAATCGTGTAAGCTATACTAAATAAAATATAAATGGTATTTTATAATATTTAAAAAAAAACTTTATTTTTTATTTTTTTATTTTACATTTATAAAAAAAAATCTTGATTAAAATTTTTGAGATTTTTTAAATTCCCAAATAATTGAAATGTTGGTGTGATTATTGTTGCGTTGATTTTTGTTGTTTTTTAATAATATTTTTTTTTTTTTTGATTTTTTTATCTGAGGTAATATTTACAAATGGATATTTTTTATTTAAATTAAATATAATATATTAAAAACATTTAATTGGAGCCGCTCTTGGAGACTCGCAATTTGAATCATTATTTGTTGTAGTAGTAGCAATATCGCTATCTGTGTTACCACCACTATTTTTGTTATTGCTATTGTTGCTATCTTTTCCATTATGATTGCTACTGTTGCTATTATTATTTTGACTTGTTGAACTACCAAAAACAAAATGGCCTCCTCCATTACTAAAACCACCCGATGGGCCTCCGTTATTATCATTATTTCGATTATTTGAGAGCATTGAAAACCCATTACATTGATCCTTTTGTTGTAATTGTTTTTCGTTATTATTATTATTATTGTTATTATTATTATCGTTATTATTACTATTACTACTATTACTATTTAATTGATTTTGTTGAAATAAGTGGGATGTCATAGTTGGGGCAAATGGATTCAACTTAATACCATTGTTGCTCATATTTAAAGGTGGTGGTTGAATGTGGGATTGTTCTAAATGAAAGGATGTTTTTGATGGTTGTGTTTGCTGTTTATTTGTTTTACTATTTTGATTTAATGGTGAAGGTATTTTTATGGATGATTTTGAAAATGGATTTTCTTGATTTTGTTGTTGTGGGAATTTAAGGGTTTGTGTCATTTGGGTTATAATTGATAAAGAGGCGACCATATCAGTACTTGGGGATATAGTTGATTGAAAATCTTTTGGTGTAAAAGTTAAAGGTGGTTGTGTTGAAATATCTAATCTTGGCATTGGATTTGGCTTTATTATTTCATAAGATCTTCTTTTTGAAGGAGATGCAAGAGAACGTAGGCCCATATCGTTTAAGACATCATTGATTACTTTATATATGAAAATATATTGGTCGAGGGTTTGAACCATACCTTTACGTTGTCTTCTTAACTCTAAAACAGAATCCTTTATAGAGATATTAATTTGTGTTGGATCGTTGGAATATCTTTCAATTTTAGCCATGTTGATATTGATACTAATAAATGTACCAGAACGTCCAATGCCTGCAGAACAATGAACGATGACTGGACCGTTGGTGCTTTTGGCATTACCTCTTTGTTTGAATGTATTGACCATAACTGAAAGTGTTCTGATATGTGACGATGATGGTGGGGCACCGCAATCTGGCCATTGGCCGTAATGCAACAAGACAACCTCTCTTGGAAATTCCTCTCCCTTTTTATAAAGATGAAGTGAGCTGACACCAATATCTTTAAACATTACTTTTTTATGTAAATGCACCCAAAATGATCCATACTCTTGTGGTTGTTGTGAAGTCTCTGGATAATAGACATCTGCTTTCTTTTTACCATTTTCCTCTAATTTTGTTAAACAAACTATTACCGATGATCTTTCTATATAATTACAATAAATAATGTAACAAAAAAATTAATAAATATGAAAATATATAATGTATATAATTTATTTTATATTTACCCTCCCAAACCATTCTCCAAAAATCTTTGACTGTTGAAGGTAGTGGTGCTTGACAAGCAATGTAATATCTATAGGAATTTGGTACCTCGCCATTAATATAATTTGCATTAATGTAATCTCCATCACCGCTTTCTATTGGAGTCAAACGAACCCTAGTTGATTCATTTGGTAAAACATCGTGGTATCTATTTTTTCCATAATTATTTGGTTGTAACGCACTAAAAAACTTTTCTTCATCATGTTTTCTATTATCTAAATCGTTGTGGCTGTAATGTCTTTGATGATGTTTGTGTGTTTTTCTTGAGGTACCCAACTCTGGTTTTTTAATAAATTCAAATTCCTGCCTCATTCTTTCCTTGTCTTCATCTAACAATGATAATGAGGTTAAAAGTGATGGTGGTGAAGAAGACATACTATTACTAGCTGAAGTTGAAGTTGATGTTGAAGTAGTTGATGCTGATCCATTACCATTCGACATAGATGATGAATTTGAAAATAATGATGATGATGAAAAAGAAAATGGGCTGGTAGTAGTTTGTATTGGTGTTGAATCGATAACATTTGATAAATTTATACCATTACTATTATTTAAACTATTTAGTGATGATGAAAATGAATTATTATGATTATTATTACTATTATTTGAAATTGCTGCTTTTTTAAATTGTGGTTGGAGTGAATGAATTTGTTGTTGTTGCATCTGTTGCATTTGTTGTAATTGGACTTGAGCTTGAGTTGGTAATGAAGAATTACTAATATTTAATGTTTCTGATGATTTTAATTGTGGTGGTGGTATATTTAAAAGATTTATTGAAGAAGTAGATAATGATTTTGTATTATGCATTGCCAATGTTCTGGCATGATTACTTGAGACATTCAATGGCCCAATTGTATCAACCTCCATTGCCTCGGTACTACTTAAATTTGGTGATGATGAATTATTAATAATTGCATTTGTCGATGAAAGCTTTAATAAATTTGGTGTTCCTGAATTATCAGTGGTAGTTGTTGTTGTGGATGGTGAAGACATTGTATTAGATGTGTTTGTTGTTGTTATTGTTGGAATTATTTCTGGAGTAGATGATGATGCTAAAAAACTTGAAGGGATAGTTGTTGATGTTGAAATTGGTATATTTAAATGAGAGTTCAGCGAGTACACTGAATTAGTGCTGTGTCTGTAACTCATAGAAATATTCATAAATTTTGATTGTTGAATTCTAAAAATTCAAAACCAACAAAAAAAAAAAAAAAATTAATATTGTGACCAATTAAACAAAAAATAAAAATAAATAAAAAAACTATTTTTATATTTGTTATTAGAAAAAAAAGTGATAAAAATAAATTTTTATCTTATTTAAAAATGTTATTGTTTTATTTTTTGGTTAAAAAACTATACAAAAAAAAAAAAAAAAAAATGTGGTGGAATTATTTAATACAAATTATATATGTTATTATTTTAAATAATTTTTAAAATAAAATTAAAAAAAATTAAAAAAAAATTTTAAAAAAAATTTTAAAAAATAAAAAAAAATTTTAATTTTTAATAATAATATACGTTATTTAAAAAATTTTTTTTAATGAAAAAAAAAAAAAAAAAAAAAAATGGTCTTTGTGCACAGAGCAGTTTAAACAATGTTTGTGCTCTTTTTGTGGTTTTTTATTTGAAAATGAAATAAAAAAAAAAAAACTATTTTAAAAAAAGATGTAAAGATAAATAATGGTCTTTATATAATTTTATAAAAAATAAAAATATTGTTTGTATCTAATTTTTTTAAAAAATAGAATTGAAAATTTATTATAAAAAAAAAAAAAAAAAAAAAAAAACACAGCCCGCTTTCCAAACAAAAAACCAGTCTTGAAAAAAAAAAAAAAAGAAACGACCAACACCCCCAATTGTGAAAAAAAAAAAAAAAAGAAGCTAACTTTTTGAAAACTGAAAACACTTGTTTTTTAAAAATAAAGACATCATTTTTTTTTTAAAAAAAAAATTTTTTTTAAAAAAAACATCCCCGCGGTTTTTTATTTTTTTTTACA